ATCTCTCGATCTTCTGAAGAGGGAATGAAACTACTGGACCACTATCAGGATTGGCATCAGTCATTTTGTCTCCCGTGCTGAGTTCTTGCGCTAAGGAATTTATATCCATACATTGTGCTTCCTTTGTACAATTTAACAGCACCCGCTGCATAATCTAACTACACCTTTCCTGTTTTTAATAAGGTCCCTTGTTTCATCACATCTGCTAGCAAGGAATAGTTTCTTTTGTTTCATTTTGGGTGCCTTTCACTGGATCACAATATCCCCAGGCAAAGTCAGCTATTGTTTAATGCTTCAGTAGGTGGCACTCTTTCCTTTGAATCCAGTGGATACCCTCAGCACAAAAGTGGTACATTCAATAGTCTTGATGGAAGCTCTGTTGCAAGTGTATGCATGGGTGTATAATATGTGTAAGTCTTTGCACTTATGAGTATTTGTTTCTTTCTGCTTCCTTCATATATTTCCATCTGACACAAACACCTGCTTGCCAAGATAGTGGGTCTTCCTAGCTGCTCACAGACCTACCCTATATATGAATTCAAACAGATGGTGAATTGCCCTTTTTCTTTCCTCATAAGAATATGCACATGATTGTGTCAGACCAAAGCTCACCAACACTTGTTTTATAGCACTGGCCAGCCAAATTCTTTGCATTATTTTTTGCAGCATCTTACAGCCTATATAATTCCTTGCTTCTGGGCATGATGGCATAATTCACTGGAATCGTATGAATTGGACTCAAGATTTTGGGGACAGAGAGGATGACTACTAGTTAGCTAGAACTAGCTCCCAACAGATATCAATAATGGTCTTTCTGAACTAGAATTTTAGCATCTGCAGAATTTAGAAGGCCACAGGATAGGTGATAGTCCAATGATATCCCAAGATCCCATAGAAGGATATTACATTGAATTTCTGGCTCCAAGTATCAAGGGACATCACAGAGATGTGCCCTTACAACAATATGAATTTCCAGAAAAGTAGAAAACTCATGGAAAGAGAAAACTCATGGAAGAGTGAAAAATGATGATAAAATTGGGTTATTTAGTGTGAAATACGATAGATTTCTAACTCAGAATAATGCATTACATTTTTAAAACATAAAAATGTATGTTTTGATAAAACATTATGGACAAAATGTATAAGGAATGCTTGGAGACACTTGAAAAAGAAAACCCTGAAGAAGAGAAGAATGTAGAGAGATGGTAGCTTCAAGTAAGTAGACCAGATAACCAGGAATATGTAAATAATGGATTCCTTCATTGGCAGGCTCTAGACTAGATGAAATCTGGACTTCATTCCAATCCTTACTCTTAATGATTCTATGCAATGAAAGTAGTGTTTAAAATGCTATTTCTATCAAACTACTAGATCAAAGTTATTAGATAATGTGCAAATTTAAAATTGTCTACTCTTGGGGAATTCACAAAAATCATCAGTTTGAGCTCATTTAGTATTTAATACCAACAATTCATATAAGCAAATTTCAGTTCAAAACACTTCCATACTATCATCATGGATATGAAATTTATGAAATTCTCTATCTGCCAGGAAATTACCTAACCCATTTCATTAAATCTAGGTTAATAAAGGTATTATTGCCAGTACTGGTTACATCTAAAACAAATCTATGTTTCCTCACACACTAGAAACTTTTCATTTAGTCTTACATCAAACATTACTGTGATGAACATAGTGCTAAAAATGCCTGTACCATAAGAAGATAAACTATGAGTCCCAATAATTGGCTATTACACTTAGCATCTGGACCAAAGACTAGGCCAGCAAACAAGACTGATTATGAACTCCTTTTTTAACTTAATTAATCTTAATATTTTTATCTTGCTTTTAAAAATACTCAGATCCCTTTTCTTGTGCAGATGGGAAAGTACACCACATTTCTTCAAAAATTATAGTAATTATTTGTGATTTCATGGGTATATTTGTAGAAATTAACATATGTGAATATTGTTGAAAATAGGCATCATTTCTATCCTCTTTTTGGTGTTGCATTTCCTCTTCTTTTTTTCTTTAAAGAAGGGAAAAATCCAATGTACAATTTAGTGTGCATTGTTAGCTGTTCAGATGGATAGTTTTGTTAAATGTAGAAAAGATGCTGTGTGGTAAAAGAAGAGAAGAGAAGAGAAGAATGGCATTGCAGAGGATAATGAGAAGGATGAAGAAGATGCGGAGGGAGGAGGGAGAAGGAAGAAGAAGAAGAAGAAGAAGAAGAAGAAGAAGAAGAAGAAGAAGAAGAAGAAGAAGAAGAAGAAGAAGAAGAAGAAGAAGAAGAAGAAGAAGAAGAAGAATTGTAAAATAAAGGGTAGCTTATCCTGTCTCCAAAACATGAATCTTTAGAGGCAGTAAAACTATTCAGATCAATCTGACCCTTCCAAGGAAAGGTATGGACATAAAAAGCAAAGAAATTGTCAACATACTGGAGATAAAAATGGCTTCATTGGTCTTTCCTGAAATGTCACATTTTTCTGAAGTAATTTAACAATGGATTTTCTTGCTTGCTGAAATTTCTGTTCTTAGTGTGATGAGTTGAGAGGAAGCAGGGTGCCAAATCAGATGACCTAGGTAAAAATGCTTTCCTAGTGATGGTTATTTTATAATTTGTTTTTCTTACTAATTAACTCTAGATTTTTTAAAAGTTAAAAAAGTAGTAGATTCTGATCTTTACAGTAGCAATAAATGCATTTATATTTACCTTCTTTCTCTCAGTTTAAATCAAGGATTCTTTCTTTCCATAGTCTACCTTTTTTAATGACTGAACCCATAAACCACAGTTATTTTTCCACTTCCAGTCACTAACAAGGAAGTGTGGCCCTTTCTGACCCACAAAATTGGGTTTGTGAGTTTAAACAAACAATCAAAAAAGGACAAGCAATACCTTAGGTTTGGTTATCAGCAACTGCACTAGGCTCTGAATTATGGCCCACCAATTCTACTTTCTCTCACCCAATATTCCAATATTGGAATATTCCACTATTCTATCACCAACTCGCTTAGTGTGCCATTGGCTGCACACATTTCTGACAGCTCTTGGTGAAAAAGCCAGATTGTTTTAATTCAGTGGCATTCCATTTTCTGTTTTTGAGCTCCAAGGATTTTTAAAACCTTTTCTCTGAAAATAATAATAATTACCCAAGCCCTTGGAAATGGCTCAAAAGATGGACAAAAATGCTAATTCCAGTCTAAACATGTGGCTGACTCTGTGATCAACCATAATATAATCTTCAAAGGTATTTATAATGAATTAATCACTGCTGATTTAAAGTGTCATATGGCTTCTATTTCATCATGAGTCCTTTGCTTGTCTACTTTGTGTTTGTCTTTACAGTCATTTATTATTATTACTATTTTAAAACCAGGCTTGTGCTGCTAACAGCATGATAGTATAATAGGAATAGGCATCATTTGGAACAGTTATTAATATATAAAAGTTAGTCAATACACAAAATGGTTAGTTGCATAAATGGTCAAGTTCAGTTAGACACAATTGAAGCTGCATTATCCATAATTGCTGGAGCTTTGATGTCAATACATGAAGTAGGCTGGAGAAAGTTCAGTTTAGCCCTGAAATTTTTGATGTAACCATCGAAACAATCAATGTGCTTTTGAAGGCTAAAACTTATTCTTGTAAAGTTTATATATGAATTAATTCTGTATCGAATCTTTTGGAATAATAGTGCATATATCTAAGAATCACTTCTTGGATTTCCTATTGTTTTCCTTTCCTGGCATTGCAGGCTGACCCAAATGGATCAACCACTATGGAGAAATCAGGGAAGGGACTAAATTCCAGTGAGAAAGAGCAGAGAGTTTGCAGCCAAAGATCCTGGATTCAAACTCTACCATCTTCTCTTAATATGATTAAGTTGTAGACTCTATACAGAATCTTGACCTCTAGACAGTCTCTAAAATTAGCACTGTGTAAAAAATAAAAGTGGCAGATATTAACCTGGTGTCTTTTATTTCTTTCTTTTTCTGCCCTGAAGGCCCTTTGGAAAGTGAAGCAAAAACAGAGAAAAAAATGCTATTGTATATAGGTGAAGAGTAGTTAGATCAACCCCACTGAGATTAGGTGGATGAACAAATGATCTATTAAAGAAAGTAATATATGGTGTTTGGATAACCTATAATTGTGTTAGTATTTGTTTTAGATTTTTTTAAAATGTTGAATTTATACATTTCTTTTTTATGGATGTCCCTGTCCTGAATGTTCTAGAGAGATTAGGAAATAAATGTTTTCAGTAAAAATAAGGATCATTTCTCTTAGAAAATGTCCCTTGTATTTACATATGGGAATAATGCCCTGCCTTTCTCAAAGAGGTTGAAGAAATAAAATGGCATGAGGAGTCATTTTCCCAGGCATCACTTTTATCTCAGAACAATTTGCATCTCAGCAATTTATAAATCTGACACTTAGGAATGGAGCAAGGATTTGCATGTTTTCCATGCCTAGAAGAAAAAAATATGGGTAGGAGAGGACAGAGGTCAGCAAGAAACAGTAGGGCCTGTTTTTATATGAAGGTTGGGTGGTAATCAGAATATTTCTAGACATAATAGGATGAAGTTATCTTTTAGCTTTTTTCTGAATATTGTAATGTAGGTCTTTGCCTAAATAAAGCCCAGAATAATGGCTAGGTTATGGAAGATCATATATAAATAGATACATAAGAAGAAACAGCTTAAGAATTGAATACATTCTGAAAATTGTGTGAAAGGATGGATACCAATATTTGTATAGACTTTACAAAATTGCAAACTCATGTAGATTCAGGATGAAACTAACTTTATTTTTTTTCGTATAGTATAGTAGTTAAGTTGGACCGGCAGGTTCAAGTGCACACTGACTTTCAGCCTATGTTACATCAGCAGGATTGTTGTTGTAGAACAGACATGTCAAACTTGCGACATCACGTGACGTTACATGATGTATCGGAGCTTTTGCTCCATTGCCGGCAATGGAGTGGGCACGGTTTCCTGGTGACGTCTGGCCCATGGGCTGGCAGTTTGACATCTTTGTTGTAGAGAAAAAAATGAAGGGACATCCTCATGGAAGATGCTTTGAACTCTTGGAAAGAAGTAGGCTGGAAGTATAACAGATAAACCAAAACAAAACAAACCAAACCAAATAATGAATGTGCTGGAAAAATAAAAACACATCCTATAGAAATAACATAGATTCATCCACATCCATCTATGATTGTCTTTTTTTTTGTTATTTTCACTTGTTGTCTTAACCTTATATAAGCAATCTATACTTTAGTGACTGAGATGGCATATAAGCTGTTTAACAAATCTAACTTAGTGGCAATCTTTATTTTTCATTCATAGCTGTCCTTTGTCCTCATTTCCTATCACAGAGAGTTTCAGGAGATGGAGGAAATACCACTCTATGGTGTCCTATCATGGACCTGCACTTGTAATTATGGCCTTCTAAAATGGATACTTAATTTTGCAATTTGCACATTTGCTTACCAACTCACATCTCCAAAATATCCTATAGTCTTGGTTTTAAAATAGTGCTGGTATTTCTCCATCAAAATGCTTTCTGTAAAAAGTCAGCTAAATTGACACATATTTTCCTTTAACAAGTTCTCTAAATATAGCTCCATTTCTTTCTTTATAAAACTCACTGTCGGTTTCCAGCTATGATAAAGAATATTAAAATTAAAACCTACAGTGAAGGGGGGAGAATTCTTTGTTGAAAATTTTATGATTGTTGTATCAAACTGCATTAAAAAGAGTAGCGATTTTTTTTAAAAAAAACCCGCTTCTCTTTTTAAATAGTGAGAAATACAAAATTTAATATCTTTATGAACTTAAAATGGGATGCAAATAGGCATATTTTCAGACATGTCATTTTATTCAAAAATTAACAGAATGACTAATTATCTATTGCTGTCATCTATCCTTCAGAAAGGGAAACTGAGTAATTTCTTGTCTCTATTCATACTCCTGCTATACTTTTCCTATTTTTTTTGTTATTACAATGAAACCAGCTGTGTTTACTCAGGGGAACGGTAAAAAACACATATCTCAGGATGGTAGTTATGACTATGCAGTTGAAGCTCCCCATGTAATAGCCGCCATCTTGATGTTTTTGACCTGTCTCTGCAGACTTGCCTGGATGAAACTATAATACTACAAACTTCTTTCTCTTTTTCTGTAATAATTCAGAGTGGTTCTGTTCACAGTTCCTGCCAGCTAATCAGCTGTGCACTTTTCATTTGTTTGGGTGCTTCTTTCCTTATTTGAGCCTGCACTTGTTAAATCTTAAAAATTAATCACAATCTAATATTGTGAAAAACTGTAGAAATAGCCTTGGGAAGGGGGAAGTAATAATTAAACTGTTAAGGTAGGAGTTTTGGAAAAGACCACTCAGCCTTGAGAAACGGGAAAGTGTAAGGAAGAAACTCAAAAGAATCCTGGCTTGGTTAGGGATAGTATTGGGCAGAGATAAATCCTGACAGGCTTTTGGACTTTTATTATTTTAACCTGGCATAATAAAAAGCATTCCTAAGGTCCCTGCTACTTCTGTTCCTTGCCTTTGCCTGCCTCAAATATTAATTAGGAGTTAAACCAATAAAGCAGAGGAAAAATATCATGGATGCTAGTAAATTTGTTACAGTGACCATTAGCTATTCAAATATTGAGTTATAGAAAAGGATCTTTGTCCAGCACTAACAGGATTGGTGTCTGGCACACTTCCTAGAAAAGATTTTCTACATTTGCAGTGCTACCATCAAGAAAATTGTATCTTGCGTCATTATTTACTACACTTATCCTGTTACATCCTGACCTGATGGAAGACAAGGAGAGCTTGACAGAAGGAGGGATTTTCTTTCATTCTTTTTCATCACCACCACCTTTCAGGGTCATGAAATATGTCTAGTCTGCCTTGAAATACCTTTGGAGACCTCTCATTGAATGTTTGGCCCCATATATTTGTGTCTATGTTTTTTTTAACTAATATATTTCTCTTTACATTATAAAAATGCAGACTTAGATAATGAGCTTATTTAGGACATGAGCATACTGTATTTCAGATATTTAGAGCCATATTAGAATATTATTTAGTTCAGTTACAATTAGGATTGTTCTCTAGAACTGCCAGATCTGGACTGAAAATATAAAGCTGACTAACAAATGGAGAGACATTTGTTGTAGGGGTTAAGAGAATGGTCTAGAAACTGGGGTACTGTGAGCTCTAATCTTACCTTAGCACAAAGCCAATCAAGTAGTCCAGACAATTGCCAGGAACTGACAATAACTCAAAGGCACGCACTCACGCACTCACTCACTCACTCAATCAGCCAACCATGTTAAGAGGCTCTTATATCAAAATAACATCAAAATGTGTATCTTTATAGAGCTACTCATTTAGCTGACACTTCCCAAATGTTTACAATAACCATTATAAAATGCAATAACATTCTTATTGAGAAGGTCTGAGGAAAGATTGACAGACCAGTGAACCAAAGATTTTAGTGGTCTTTGTCTCTGTTTTCTTGTTGAAGACCCTGAACTAAAATTAAATTCCAAGAAAATTTCTTATGTGATCCAGCCCTCTCTTACATCACTATTTAAACAAGCTACAATTGGCCCTCTTATTAAACTTCATTTAATTTCCTTTTGTTTATTAGACTGCTGGAATAACGCAATAATTATTTCTCATGTTTATGCAGATTACAGTGATCCTGTATCCTATTTTGCACAGAACTGGCTTTTGACTGAAGTCATGCAACTGAAAGGCTGCCCAATTCTACTCAAGTTCAGAGGGTTTTTTTTTTTTTTTAAAGTTGTATGACAAGAGCTTTTTGCAAAGCTGTTAAGAGGGAGCTTTCCTGCAGGGATTTTGAAGCTTGATGTCATGCTGTTTTGATTGATTGAACTGACATCTTTGAGTTGATTTTATGGTTTCATAGTTTTCCTTATGGACAGTTTTAATTGTATATTTCTGCTATACAAATTGTTATGCATCGTTCCAGATTCACTGGAAGGCAAAAATAAATAAATAACCATTTGGGTGATAATTTGCTTCTTGTGTAAGACTAATACAGAAAGGTGTTTGATAGTCTTTTGGTTCTGTACTATTGCTTTTCAATGAAGCTATTATTTCTTTTTTTTTAAAACAGAATCATTATTTTCTTACCTATAGAGCCTTAAAAAAAGTCCAGTTGTAGAAACAGCAAAATCTTGATTCTAACATTTTACTACAATTTGGGTTCAGACTGAATCTCTGATTCCGAACAACTACTCTTGTAGTTTTTAACCAAACATGTTTATCACTTGTTCTGAAAGTACAAATCTGTGCCATGCAGTTTTATTCCAGTCAGGTTTTTTTTAAATTGTCCTTCTGCCAAAGTTTAAGTGCTGTGCTACTTTTTTTTTTCATTAGAAATTACCAAATGTTCTACCTTAAAATAGACTGACAACAGGTCAGGCTGCTCCTGTTTAAGTATTATGAACCTAAAATGTGCCAAAGTTTCTTCCAGATTGATCTGTTGTGTAGCTACCTCTAGAGTTAAAATACCTTATTAGCTAGTTGATACTGTTCTTTCAATTACATTCTTGAAATGTTTCCATAAAATAGGTGCAGTATCTTTGATTTTTCTCTCTTTTAAAATGCTTAATCTTTGCAAAAGATTATGGAAATATATGGTTTTTCATATATCAATTTTAAAATGAATTTACATTATTTTTACTTACTCTCACTGCATATAAGGAACGGTTGCTGGAATTGGGTATGTCTAGTTTAACGAAGAGAAGGACGAGGGGGGATATGATAGCAGTGTTCCAATATCTCAGAGGCTGCCACAAAGAAGAGGGAGTCAAGCTATTTTCCAAAGTGCCTGAAGGCAGGACAAGAAGCAGTGGGTGAAAACTAACCAAAGAGAGAAGCAACCTAGAACTAAGGAGAAACTTCCTGACAGTTAGAACAATTAACCAGTGGAACAACCTGCCTCCAGAAGCGGTGAATGCGCCAACACTGGAAGTTTTTAAGAAGAAACTGGAGAGCCACTTGTCAGAAATGGTATAGGGTTTCCTGCTGAGCAGGGGGTTGAACTAGATGACCTCCAAGATCCCTTCCAACTTTATTATTATTATTATTACATATTAGTGAGATGTGGACAACAATCTGGCTTGCAAAATTGCCTGTAGCTTAGAGAACGTAGGGTATGCTTTGGAGAGATTTGGTTGAGCTTATGGCATTCTGGCCAAAATGTTCCAGAACTCATTAATACTATTTTTACTATTAGCAGGAAATGTTGTATGTGGCTTGAGTACAAATAAGGCTTGGTAATCTAGTGTACCTTTTAACATAAAACTAGAAAGACCTATGTAAAAGTTTCAAATGATCAAGGGCATGATAGGCAGTGGAGGTCAATATTGGTGAGCCCTCTGGGGACAAATATGACATATGAAAAATGGTAACTAGGAATGTAAGAGGAATAAATGGTAACGAACATTGCATGGCGTGGTGGCCTACAGATGGAGCTCTTGCCTCACAATCAGGAGACTCTGAGTTTGATTCTAGGTAATGGCAGATATTTTTCTCTTTGGGCACAGTGAGTGATTGTCTGCTGTGAACTTCACATAGAGCATCAGGAAGGGCACCCAGTCAGTAAATGCTCAGCTCCATTCAGTCGCCCCAACTCTACCTTGATGCAAAGGATTTACAGGGTCGTTTAAAAAAACCTCCAGTGAAGAACAGTAAATATACAGTGTATGAAACTATGAAAAAGGAAAGGATATAACATATCTGACTGTAGTTTGCTCTTAGAATATTAGAAAAAAATACTGTTGCAGGTGTAGATGGTGCAACTGGAGAAATGCTAAACTATCTCTGTGGTTTGCCTAAGAAGCACTTGTGCAACTAGTTTATTGGGTGTATGAAGGATGCATTTGTGCCTGATATTTGGACAAATGTTATTACTATAGCTCCTTTACTATCTGAGGACTTCAACTCTCAGAATGGCTGGCTCAGGAATTCTGGGAGCTGAAGTCCACAAGTCATAAAGGGGCCATAGTTACCATAGTTGTCCATCCCTGCCTTATACAAAAAGTAAGAGTAAATACAAAA